AATCAATCTTTCTTGGGTGAAAGATAGCCAGGAAAGGGACAAGCTTTAATGGAATTTATGAGACTCCAGTTATTGATGGGCACCTAATATTTCCGGCTTTCTTCAAATGGAGTGAACATTGAGCGAAATGAAAGTTGTGTATGTATTTTTCTTAAATTGTGTATTTACTATGTTGAAATCACCCATTTGCCTGAAAATTTGAGGCGCATAGTGTTAAGCACATGGATGGACGTTACTCAATAGGACCATTTACCGTTGATAGAGAAGAATCACAATCACTCCAAGCAAATATGCGAAATCAAACAACTAAGGGAATATGCCATTGATCTCACTTAAAGTCTCATTATCAAACCATATAAGAAAAATTAATACACCTCAACAACCAACTACCAGATTTCACGCATGACAAATTGGGGGTTATTGCAATCTTTTTATACCAATAGGCATGTATTAATTTGTGAGAGTGGTTGAGAGTAAATAATTGAGAAAATTACAAAAAAAAAACCCAAAATGTACTATTTACATAACTTACCCCCAGGCAACCTTTGCTCTCACTTCTTTCCCCACAACATCTTTTCCTCGCAAAAACCCCCACGATAAAAAGTTGTTATTTTTTGAACAAAAATGCCCTTCCTATACAAAATAATTCAATTGGCGGTCCCAAGTTCTGTGTAGCCTGAGCATAGAATAACACTGCCGGAGCACTTTGTAATGATTGCTGGATCGAAATAGGTACTGCCAAAGCACTGTGGCTCCAGAAGGTGTACCACTGGAACGCCTTCATCTACCGCCGGAGCGCCCTAATGCACTGCCGGAGTGCCCTAATGCACTGCCGGAGCGTTGTGGCTCCAACGACCCTACTGCCGGAGTGCATTCATAAAGTGCCGGAGCAAAATGTCTCCAAAAGGTGTACTGCCGAAACGAGATCACGTAATGCTGGAGCAAATTCGTCTACTGTCGGAACGAACTACCACACTATCATAGTGCTGTGGCTCCAGAAAGTGTAATTTTCCCTAAATAATTTGTGATAGTGCACTAATTTCTACATAATCCACTTTGCAACTATTACCATTCCAAAAAAAAAAAGACGTCAGAATGCATTTTTTTGTGGACAATAAAGAGTTTGGAATGGGGTTGGTGGCGGTTAGCTTGAAACCATTATTACAACCATCCCAAACCAAGACCGGCCATTATTACTTCCCACACCACATTTTGTACTTTGTAGAGAGAGTGTCGGTGTGAGAGAGAATTCCTTAAATGGAGAGAGAGGGGAACATTCAAGAAAATGGAGTAGAGAGGAAACCGGAGAGGGAAACAGACAAGAGAGAGAGAGAGAGATGTGTCAGGCACACGAGAAAAGCAAGAGATGCGGTTCAAGGGCCAGTGCAGAGAACCCTTGAATTCATGTGTCATTGGACAACGAATTTTTTAAGCCTCTCCCCATTTAATTATTTATTTTATTTATCAGTAACAATCCTAACCGTGCATCCTCCCCAGAAAATAAGGTCACAATTCCCCGATTTATCACCAAAAATTGTACTAGCGAGAAAAACTAGGAGCCCTCTGACTTATCACAGAGTCATTGTTTGTCAATTTCCATATTTACCAATAGGTTCTATCTTACCCACAATAACTTCTCTATCCAATGTCCTGACATCCTAACCCAATGAGACAGACAGACAAACAGAGAGAGGTTAGAAAAAAAGAGGGGGGAAACAATCGTGTAGAGAGAGGAAAGGGCAGAGAAGAGCTTTTCCTTTCTTACAAGAGGTTCTCCATCCCACCTCACCCTCTATAGAGAGAGAGAGAGAGAGAGAGAGAGCCTTTTTAGTGAGTGAGGCTCTTCATCGCCCTCATTGTTTAGAAAGAGAGATCCTTTGTAGTGAGGTCACGATAAATTTATTGATCCACAGTGCCACTCAGAGAGGGATATCCATTCTAGAGAGGTGCGCGAAGATTTATTGTTCAAGACTGCCACAGAGAGAGAGAGCTGAAACCTAAAGGAAGAAACATTTCTTCACGATGATGATGGTGGCACCTCTTCACCCCGTAGCGGAGGCGAATGAGCGGAGCCCATTTGGGGACCTCACCCCCGAGCATTTCTATGATCGCCATGGCATCACCCACTCGTCGTCATTCATGCGCAACGCACGTGGCATGAACATCTTCACCCAGTCATGGCTCCCAATTGACCATGATAACAAACAAGTAATGGGCATTGTCTGTTTGGTACATGGGTACACAGGGGAGAGTAGCTGGTTTCTTCAGCTCACTGCGGTGGCCATTGCAAAGCAGGGGTTTGCGTGCTGCGCTCTCGACCACCAGGGTCATGGCTTCTCGGATGGCCTCTCCACCCACATCACCAACATCGAACCTGTCCTACGATGACTGCCAGGCATGGATGCCTCCCAACCCCCTCCTTTCTTCTCTCTCTCTCTCTCTCTCTCTCTCTCTCTCATCATCCATGGCTGTCAATTCAAACTCTCTCTTCCTCTCTCATCATCCATGGCTACCAATTCAATCTCTCTCTCTTTCTCGTCACTAATGATTATAGGTATGATTTTCCGAATAAATCTAAAATCCCGTCCCTATAATATTTGAAAGAGCCTGGCCCATAGTTACGAGATCAGCATTGGATGTCATGTGAGATATCACTGCAAATGTCAAAGAATAACAGCTCTTGCACCTATTATATAGCCCATTAGAGCTAATTCCAAAGAATTAACGGCTGTTACACCAGTTATAGTCTGTTATAACAGTACTGGACCTTGGCTGATATAAGGGTGCAGCACCATTTTTATAACTTCATCATGATCTCAACTCTCAAGGCCCATGTCATGGTCGGCATTGTAATGACAATTATGACATCTGACATGTACATATACCAAGCCTAATGCTGTTGTTAATATTGTAAAAACAATTATGACATATTGTCTGATATATTGACAATCAGTGTTTTAAAACTGTGGCTCGGGCCAGGACTAACCTGGTTCAAAAACCTCCGCATTCGCCCAAAGTCTCGTGGAGTAATGGACCTTGCTATGTTATTTCCACAAAGACTTGGCAGAATCAGACTGCTGACTTAAGCTCAGGACCACAGCAAGTCTGACCCCGGATCCCTTCCTTTTTTTGAAACTATTACCATTGTATAGATGGAATAGAGATTACATAGATGCAACCCCCGAATCCTTGTTTCTAATCTTTGATGATACTCATGATATATCGGCTTAATGCCATTTCCTGAACCTTGTGATTTACAGGCTTTCTTCTCTAACTTCTGCTCGCGCTTCCCCCCCTCATTACCGGCCTTCCTCTATGCTGAATCCCTCGGGGGTGCCATGGCCCTCCTCCTCCACCTCCGCGACAAGCGCTCATGGTCTGGCCTCATCCTCAACGGTACAATGTGCGGGATCAGTCCGCGCTTCAAACCCCCATGGCCCCTTGAGCACCTTCTATGGATCGCTGCTGCAGTTGCACCCACGTGGCAGGTGGTGCCCACACGCGCCATACCGCACGTCTCATTCAAAGAAGAGTGGAAGTTCAGACTCGCACTGGGGAGCCCTCGCCGAACCGCAACAAGGCCGAGGGCAGGGACCGCGCTTGAGCTCCTCAGGATTTGCAAAGTATTGCAAGATCGTTTCGAGGAGGTGGAGGCACCAATGCTCGTGGTGCACGGTGAGGAAGACATAGTCTGTGATCCAAAGGGAGTGGAAGAGCTCGTGAGGAGGGCAGGGAGTAAGGACAAGACACTGAAGATTTATGAGGGGATGTGGCATCAGCTGGTGGGGGAGCCTCAGGAGAATGTGGAGAAGGTGTTTGGAGACATCATCAATTGGCTCAAGGACCGGGCCACACGAGCTAGGGCACATGCTGATGCCCAGTAGGCGTATGCTATCAAGGTTACATACCAAGCATTGTATGAGGATGTATCTCATCAATCAAAAAAGTATCAATGTCTCATATGTTATCACATGCTGACAAGCACAGTAAACATCCACTTATAATGACCGGTTTGAAACCTCCTTGTAAAGGGTTGCATCATAAATAAGCTATTTGTCAAATACATGAGATCCTAATAATGTATCGAACCCAAAATTTTCCAGCCCAACATGCTCCTCTATTTCTATGAAGACAATAATGTTTACCTTGTTTACATCACTAGAGTTTAGAAATTACATGTCAATAGATCCTGCACCCACAAACTGTTTTTTTTTCCCCTGGTTCTAAGGAACACTGAGTTTATAGTCTCCCTTAATCCATGAATATAATAAGTCTCTCTTTCTATAGTCCATGAAGATAATGAATATCAGCAAAGTAGAAAATTCATGTCACAAGATCTGCCTCGTATACACAAACTGACTTTGCTGGGGCCTAGTTCTTAGGAACACATTTCATGTCATTATCTGTTTCTCAGTCGAGGCCCTGTTCTTAGGTGTGAGCTTTATAGGTTCTCTTTCTCATGATCTCTAAAGATAATAATGGTGGCAATAACTAGAGTTGAGTAGATATTTCATGTCTTCAGATCTGCCTCCTACACAAACTGGCTTACTGGCTTCGTTGAGGCCTAGTTTCTTGGGAATGTCTATTTCTATCGATCGAACAGATGTATTTATTCACCATGGACTTCATATTCTCTCAGCTATATGAACTCTCTTCATTGTATTATTCCCACCCTAATTCCCCCCCCGTTCAGGTGATTACTCCTGAATATGCTTCTTTTATAGGTAGAGGCCTACTAATCGGCTTTTGGTGTGAATCTCTTTTCTTTTGGCGACAGACTTCTGATGTATCCTCCACAGACCAAAGGGAATGGATTTCTTATCTAAATTCCAGGACGTGTCTTCCTCCCATACATTCACTAACACGTACCTCAGTTCTTAAAACCAGCAAGAAAAGTTTGAACTTCACATGTGCAGGTAAATAATTGTCTCATTGAAAGCAACCAATTATACACACACACACAAAAAGAAAAATAAAATCCATAATGGCTTTCAATGAAATCTTCAAGATAAACTGGGGATTCAAGCCCAAAAGAAATTAATGCATGAACAAAGATCCACACAAGAAGACCCAGAATAGGATCAGATTTGATTTATTATTTTACAAGACAATTTTCAAGTTTCTGATAAAGATGGGAGAGATTGAACATGGTTTTAAATCAGAGAAATGAAAACTACCATCCCTTTGAGCTGAGAGAAACGATTACCGGACCAAGTGTCTTGTCCACGCCTCTATTCCACAAATGCGCGAGATCTGAGCGAAACTTCTTACCAAACATGGGCTCTGATGACTGCAAAAACACAGAAAAGACCAAAAAAGAACATGCGGTCACACCAACTCAAAACTCTAGAATATGAGAGAGAGAGAGAGATCCACAATGGGTTATCAAGCAGAAAGTGGATCAAAAAATGACCATTGCTGTCTGATTACTAAGTGCTTGCACATGCAATACAAAGGTTGTGGCCTAGAAGCCATGTCAAGGAAGCTCCCTCCCTCCCTCCCTCCCTCGAATCAAGAGAAAGAACCCAGCGTGACTATCAGAAAAAGGAAAGTATACAAAGGAAAACCAAATTCTAAAGGACAAACTAGAAGACTGACCACCTATTTTACACAAATCAAAGGTTGGAATGAAGAATGGATGTTAGCAAAGCAATGAGAGACAAATAAGTGCTTTGCTACTAAAATGGAAGAACTAGAAAACCAGTATGCAGGTCTTAACCTAGCCCTCTTGAAGCATGGAAGTCAAATTGAAAATGGCAGGGATAGGAAATGTGAGAGGAAATTGAATTGGAAGAATTCTGGATTACAGAACCAGAGAACCAATTCCCTAAGTCTCACTTAAAAGTGCCACGTAGCTGAAAATCCTAATGTTGCAGTGAGAGAGAGGAAAAGAAGAAACAATTCTAGGATCGAATCATCCTTGGGACTCAAAATTCCCTCTCAACTTGTGCCACTCCACCATCTTCATCGTTTTTATTCTTTGAGAGGGTTTCATTCAACCATTCAAACTGGTTTGTGACAAATTATTCTCCATGTTGCGCAAAGAGAAAAAAAGAGCACGGTGAGCAAGCGCATAAGCCAGACAAGCAACCTGCCCCCTGCCCCATGTTAAGAGAGAGAGAGAGAGAGAGAGAGAGAGAGAGACAGAGTA